TCAGGATCGCCGGAGCCCAGCAGGTCGAGGCTGCGGTGGCCGGGAGCGGCCACTGAACTCCAGCCCAGGTGACAGAGTGAGACTCCAACTCAAAACAAACAAACAAACAAAAAAAAGCAGTGTGATGGCCTCTTGCCCATAGTCAGCAGGCATTTCAGCCATGGAAGGGTGAGGAAGATCCACCCCCAATGCTTGTCATGAACAACCCACCACCATGTTCTTCTTGGTCATGGCTCACCACCCTCCCATGTGACCCCTCAATACAAGCCCTGTGCCCCAAGATCTGGGTTGCTTCCATGAGAGTGAGGTCTGGCCAAGAAGGTGAAGATGCAGGGGCTGATACTGTTCACCTTACCAGGAGAGTGGTCTAGCTGCAGGCAGGAGAGGCTGCTGTCAGGGAAGAATGGTGTCTCTTTTCTTGGGGATGTGCAAACCCACAGGGTATGTTGGGGACTGCTTTTCAGGAATGTGATCCTTTTTTGAGGGAAGGGGTCTTTCTCTGTTGCCCAGGCTGAAGTGGCATGACAATGGCTCACCATAGCCTTGACCTTCCTGGGCTTAGGCAATCCTTCTGCCTCCGTCTCCCGAGTAGCTGGGACCACAGGCATGTGCCACTATGCCTGGCAATTTTTTTTTTCTCACTATGTTGTCCAGGCTAGTCTCAACTCCTGGGCTCAGTCAATCCTCCTGTCTCAGCCTCCCAAAGTGCTAGGATTACAGGTGTGAACCACATGCCCAGCCATGGAATGTGCTCCATAAATGTGGGGTAGGAGCTGAGTCTGAGGACATCGGACCTCCTTTCCACCACTGAGAGGTGGGGATCCCAGCATCAATCACTCCTCTGCTCAAGAACCTATAGTGACTCCCTAAGGCTTCTCACATCAAGCTCTACCCTCCTGATGCCTCCTAGCTTCTGCATTTCCCAAGGCTTAGACCTAAGTCCTTCCCCTTCCTCAAAAATGCCCTACTCAATATGGCCAATTCTTTTTGGTTTTGTTTTTTTTTTTTTTGAGTCAGAGTCTCACTCTCGCCCAGACTGGAGTGCAGTGGCCGCTCCCGGCCACCGCAGCCTCCACCTGCTGGGCTCCGGCGATCCTTCCATCTCAGCCTTCCGAGTAGCCGGAACTATAGGCATGCACTACCATGCCCGGCTGATTTTTTGATTTATTGTAGAGATGAGGTCTCGCTGCCCAGGTGGGTCTCGAACCCGCAGGCTCAGGCAATCCACTCACCTCAGCCTCCCAAAGGCGCGGGATGACAGGCTGAGCCACCAAGCCCGACTAATGTGGCCAATTCTAAAGTCCTTAGACGTCAGCCGTTCAGCCCCGTTGTTCCCCTCCCTCTGTTCTTTCTCTCCATTTGCCTAACAGACCTTTCCACTCAGCAGTCATCCCAGATTGTCTTACACCATACCTAGCCATCTGCTCCCCAAGGCCTGGGGACGCACCCCCTGAACCTCAGCCTATGGTCCCCCTGCTGTCTTCCATTCACTCACCTCCCTCTCCAGGCCGTTGTAGCCCTCGGGTCCTCATCCCTGAATCACAACCATCACTTTATTTTTTATGTTTATTTTTGAGTTGGGGTCTCACTCTGTCACCCAGGCTGGAATGCAGTGGTACAATCATGGCTCTCTGCAGCCTCAAACTCCTGGACTCAAGCAATCCTCCCTCCTTAGCCTCCCAAGTAGCTGGGACTACAGGCACACTTCCGTGTCCCTCTA